CAAAAACAATATTATCATTTTCTAAAGGATTTAAGAGATTTTTAACAGTAATGTTAAAGGTATGCAATTATTTCCATATTTTATGAAATTGGATCTTATTCTCTGGATTCTTTTTTAGAAAAAAAAAAGGCTGGGAAAAATTTGGTGAGGCCTTGAATAGCTTTATCAGATTTACCTTTCATTCTATAAACTAAACCCACTTCAGAAAGATTAAAGAATAAATTTTAATCAAATTTGGGGCAATGAATAATCAGACTATAAGTGAGTCACAATATATGTGTATTTAACTTACACAAATTTAACACAGAATTCAGCAAAAAGTTACACAAATTTAAAAAATGTATTCTATATTTTCTCATTTTTTGTTTAATGCATATAATCATGTACATTGCATATTTATGAGTATATATAACTGTCCAGATTTTACACAAACAAATGCATATTGAATATTTGCTGAAACAGGAAGCTTGTCACATAGTAATATAATTGATGGATTAGTTATTAATCCTATTAATAATAATACTGACCAGGTGCAGTGGCTCATGCCTATAATCTCAGCACTTTGGGAGGCCAAGGCAGGAGGATCACTAGAGAAACAGAATCAAAGGAGTAGTTATAGATAAAGAAATTTGTCATGAGAGATTAGCTTATGACTGTATGGAGGCTGAGAAGCTCCATGATCTGTTATCCACAAGCTGGAGGGGCAAGAAAATCAGTGGTATAGTTCTAGCCCAAGTCCAAAGGCCTGACACCTGGGGAACAAAAGGTGTAAGTCCATGTCCAAGTTGAAAGGCCAGAGAGCTCCTGAGATCTAATGTTAGAGGATAAAAGAAAAGAGTTGCTCCAGCTCAGCAAAGGGAGTGAATTTGCCCTTCCTCTGTCTTTTTCTTCTATTCAGGCTCTCAACAGATTGGATCATGCCCACCCATGCGGGACAGGCCATCTTCTGTACTCAGTCTATGGATTCAAATACTAATGTGCTTCCAGGGACACCTTCACAGACACACCCAGAAATAATGCTTTACTGTCTATCTATATGGAGATCTCTTAGACCTGTCAGGTTGACAAATGAAATTAACCATCACATCTGATAAGGCCTATCCCCTAAACTAGGTACCCACAGCATAAATGCCAGCCACTGTGGGCAACAGGGAGCTCCTGGAATGGAATGCGTCATGCACTTTCAGGCCCCTCCCTGTGCTATGCAAACACTTCTCTTCTCTTCTCTATCTGACTTGTAAGAGTCTTTGTGGAAGCTTTTCTTTTCTTCGCTGGTGACATTAGTTCTCTACTTTCTCTTGGCCCATGGGATTTTTTTCATTTTTCCTTCCTTGTCCCTCTGCCTTCCCTTCTTCTTCCCCTTTGTTCTATTCCCTCTCTCTGTTTCCCTTTTCTTCCCTTCCTTGCATTCTTTCTTTTCTATCTTTTCTTTCTTCTTCTCCCTAATCTTTATACTAGAATTATTTGTTGATATATTTGTGCTTCTGAAAAGTCTGTGAGTTCCTTGCAACGAGGCACTTTGTGTTACAAAGAACCCGTTTTTCCGTTTGTTCATTTGTTCTTCTTTTTTATACTTCAGGAATTAAAATAAATACAACTAAAATGTGAGACAAATCTCTAGATGTGAAGTGCTTATATTTGATATGATAAAGGTATAAAGAGGTTAATATCTTCAGTACATAAAAAGCTCACTCAGATGTATAAAAATACTGTAACATTTTATCAGATGACTGGATATATAATATGAATAAACATTTTTTCAAGGGAAAAAGGAAAAAACACTTGGGAAAATTTGTCCTCACTGGTATTCAAATACATGAAAATGAAAACAATTTGACATTTCATTTTTTACCTGTTAAAGAAATGAGAACATTTTAAAGGAATTAATACCATTCTAAATTTCTATTCAGTGTACATTTATTGCCGATAGAATTGCAAATTGGCATACATATTTTGGATGTAGATTTGAGAGAAAATACTGAAATTCTAAGTGCCTGCCTTATTCTTTGCCCATTTCTAAGGACAACAATTCCTAACAGTTCTGTTTGCATTGTTTGCCATGGTTCATAGGCATCTTCTAAACCCTCCCCTAATTCCTGGCTCCTCACAGGGATCAGTGAAAGTATAAAGAGTAAGTGTTACACATTGGATGTGAAAGAAGCCAACAGCCCCTAATAAATCAGTGAAAAACATTTCCCACTTTAGGATTTCAAATTAGAGTGTAGCATACTGACCAAATCAGATTATTTTTATTGGGAAGTATGAATACCAATGTGATGGTTAATTTTATGTGTCAACTTGCCTAGGCTGCTGTGCCCAGTTACTTGGTCAATTATCGATCTAAATGTTTCTGTGGAAGTATTTTTTATATGAGATTCACATTTACATCAATAGACTGAGTAAAGTAAAGCAGATTATGCTCCATATTGTGGGTGGGTCTCATCCAATATGGAGAAGGCCTTGGGAGAAGAAGACTGGGGTCCCTGAAGAAGAGGGAATTTTTCCTCTAGACTACTTTTGAGCTGGCACCGCAACATCAACTTTCCCTGGGTCTCCAGCCTGCCAACCTGTTCTGTGTGGATTTTGAACCTGCTAGCCCTCACAGTCATGTAAGCCAATTCTTTAATATTCCTTAAAATAAATCTTGACTAATTCATCTAGGATAGATCACCTGAGACCAAGTTAACTATTGCTGCATGCTTCTTATCTGTGATTCTATATAATGGAACAATCTTGAAAGCATACCTCTGGAATGATTTATAGCAGAGATGTAAATAATCTGTGCTTTCAATTTCAATCTATTCTTATTACTAAGATAGAAATCCATGTAATGATTATTCTCATTATCTGATAATATCAAACCTGAAAATTGTATCTCATACCTGGAAAGTCACTTAAAATAATAATAATCAGGAGGGCTATTATCCCACTTTTTTAAAGGTCTTCCCTTTATCAGCTATATAAGCCACTCAGAAATTTGATGGTACCAACTGATGCAAACTAGTAACTTTGTCTGTTCAGAGATGAAAGGTTTACTGGTCTATTTTCACACTGCCAATAAAGACATACCTGAGACTGAATAATTTACAAGGAAAAACAGTTTTAGTAGACTCACAGTTCCATGTGACCGGGGAGGCCTCACAATCATGGTGGAGGGTGAAATGTGTCACCCACATGGTGGGTGACAAGTAAAGAGAGCTTGTTCAGGGAAACTCCCCTTAATAAAACCATCAGATCTCATGAGACCTATTCACCATCACAAGAATAGCACGGGAAAGATCTGCCCCCATAATGCAGTTACCTCTGACCAGATTACTCCCACAACACATGGGAATTGTAGGAATAACAATTCAAGATGAGATTTGAATGGGGACATAGCCAAACCAACCACATTAGAAGGCTATTTCAGATTCAAGTCTAAGACATTATTTGCTCAAACTTCTGACTTCAAAGTACAAAGTCTCCATCAAACATATATTAACACCCTATTACCATGATAATTTACTACTTCATAGATCCACACAGGTACTATCTGTTTTTGTTCATGGTCTGCAATACTCTGGCTTTTTTTACTATGGGTTTTAATAGATATTTTCGGATTTCAGAAATAGATGGCTTCTATTTAAGAGTGCTATTATGGTTAATTTCTCTTAGCTCAATATACACCCTATCGTCCTTCCTCTGTCATCTGTTCATTGTGAATGGCTATTGTGAATATTTCCAATTTGTCTTTCATGGACCATTGCTGTTTGACCATTTCTCCATGTTTGGCTTACTCGTGTTTAGATCCCAACATGCCAGAGTCCCCAGAAGTCAATGAAAAATCTATTCACTGATAATGAATCAGTGGACCATCATCAGTGAATAGATTTTTGATATGGGTAATGTGTGATCTTAATCATGTGATTGTTTTCTGAAGATGTATGACAGTAAACCTTTTCAAACCTCAGTAAGTCACATTTCAGTGGACTTGCCTTCAAATGCAGAAGATATCTTTCTTCGGTAGCTTTGAACCACGTTCCTATCTAATGAAATGCTTTCCATTGTAAAAGCCATCCATTAAAGTTGAGTGACTCGAGGGACAATGCTAATGAAAAAAAATTGTTTATTATTTTTTAAACTGGTCTTTTATAATTTGAGAATAAAAATTAATGGCTTCTTAAACAATTGTAATATACATATACCTCAGAAAGCAAAGGTCATTATTTCATTGCATTTTAGTAACAAAATAGAGTTTGCTGTTAAAAAGTTGACTTCTAAGTATAGCTTTTGTTATCATATTTTGCATTTGTTCAGGGAATCGCTGACAAGTTTAAATGGATACTCTTTTCCTTAGCATCTTCTATACATTAAAACTTTTAATTGTTGAATTAAGTGCATAAGAGCTTGTGTCAGACGGGACACTATTAAAAAGCAAATTAAAGCCTAATTCTCATTTCTCCATATAGTCAGGGGAAGCCAAAACTCAGAGTTTCATTAAATCTAACAGACTTATTTTAGTCATTAGTTTCAACCTCTTCCCACTAGCAAACCTTTGGCCAGAGCTGCTTAATTAACTAATTTGACTTTTCCCCCTTCCTTCCCTGAGCCCTCCTTCTGGGGATAATGAGTAGCCACATGTCTAGTAGATGGTCAGCAGGAGGGAGGCCATGGGTAGTCAGCCCCATGAGGAGCAGATTATCTTTTACTGCATTTCTCTTCCATAGATTGACAAAATGAAGGAAAGACCTTTAAGTGGCAAAAAGTTTAACAATTAATTCAGCTATTGCAGGAAGATGCTACCTTCCCAGAATTTTTAGTCTTGGAAAGTTTCTTAATGCATGCTGTTTCTTTAGTCTACACAGTCTGCTGTTTATGCCCAGAAAATTTCTATTTATCTCTACAATCCTACCTAAAGCATTAGCTAAATGTCTCTCTGAATTAGTTCATTCATACACGGCTATAAAGAAATACCCAGACTGGGAGACTTATAAAGAAAAGAGGTTTAATTGGCTCATCGTTTTGCAGGCTACACAGGAGGCATGGCAGCATTTGCTTCTGAAGAGGGCTCAGGGAGATTTTACTCATGGTGGAAGACAAAGTGGGATCTGGCACCTTACATGGCAGGAGCAGAAGACAGAGGTGATGCTTCACACTTTTAAACAACCAGCTCTCAGAACTCACCCACTTTCAACCTCTTAATCCTGTGGATGCTACCACCCAGTGGATGGTGGTAACCCATTCGTGGGCACTCTGCCCCCGTGATTCAGTTACCTCCCACCAGGCATTGCCTCCAACACTGGGGATAAGAATTAAACGTAAAATTTGCTGGGGACACAAAACCATATCACTCCCAGACATCTCCATGAAGAGTTAACTTCACAATTCAGTGTCTCTGCATTCCTTTTGCAGGTTTTTATAGGACAAGAACATACTGAGTGCTCTTTGTGGAAGGAATTATAGCACTCATCATATTATGGTTTTAATTACTTTAAGCGAATTTATTTGTGTGAGTACTATAGAGTAAGAGAAAGGTGAAAGGAATGCATATTACAGATTGGTGAATCATCAAATAGTAAACACACTTGTGTAATCAGCTCTTGTCAGCCACAGGACGTCATCAGCCCTCCAGAGACACTGTCTCACTTACTATGGGTCTCTCCTTTCCAAAGATAACCACAGCCACGCCTTTTGCCATTAGTTTTCCCTATTTCTCTACTGTATATAGAGTATGTGTTCATTGATGCCTATGTTTTGTTCAAAATTGTTAGTAAGCAGTTATATATTATGATGAAGAAATCACACAAAAAATCAGCAAGAACTTGAACAAACACTTCACAAAAAAGAACATCTAAAATAGTCAAAATACTAAATAAAAAAAGCAGTCAGCCTCATTGGTGATCATAGAAATGCAAACTAAAGGCCTAGGACAGACACACCAGGAGACTGAAATCAAAGCAAAAAAAAGTCATGTCTTCTCCCTGTAGTTTGATCATTTTCATTGCTGAATTATACATATTATTGTATATATTAGGTTAGTACAAAAGTAATACATTATACATATTATTGTACATATTAGGTTGGTACAAAAATGGTAACAGTTAACCATTACTGTTAATTGTGAAAACCGCAATTCCTTTTGCACCAACCTAATATAATTATTTTATTTATGTATTCTAGTGTGATGGGCATTTAAGTGGTTTCCTTTTTTTAAACTATGGCAAATAATGCTGTTATGAACATTATTGTATATATCTCAGGTACGTATATGTTCACATTTCTATTGAATATATACTTAGGAGAATCTCTGAAATACTGGCTATGCTAACATTCAGCTTTAGTAAATACTGACATATACTTTTGCAAAGTGTCATCAATTTATACATTCCCTGAAGTGTATGAGAGGTCTAGTTGTTCATATCACATGCTCAGCAACACTTGCTCTTCTCACTATTTTTTAAAATTTTTTATCTTTTTTGAGCTGAGGAATTGTCTCAGCCTCCAGAGTAGTTGGGACTACAGGTGTCTACCACTAGACATGGCTTCTTCTTGCTTTAATTTCAGTCATCCTAGTAAGTCTGGGGTAGGTCTACATGGTTTTACTTTGCATTTCTATGATCACCAATGAGGTTGAATGCCTTTTTCTTTAGTATTTTGACTATTTTAGCTATTCTCTTTTTTAAAGTGCTCAAGTTCTTGCTGATTTTTTATGTGTGATTTTTTCACTCTATCATTATACATACATATATGTGTGTGCATGTGTGTGTGTGTTATATATTTATCCATTGAAAATATCTTTTGTGATCTGAGGTTTGCTTTTTCACTAATTTATTAGTATTTTTAAGTTCTTCATTGTAAGATCATCCGTTTTTATTTTCTGACTTTATATTAATTCTTATTTTGATCTTTTAAAAATTGCTGCTTACATCTAAAGCCATGAAATTAATCTCTTTTGTATTCTAGAAGTTTTAGACTTATATCTGTAGTACGCCTGAACTTACTTTTATGTGTAGTGTAATATAGGGAGACAAGTTCCAGTGTTTTTCCTAAGAATATGCACTTTGGATCAATATCATTTACTGAGAAACCATTCTTTCTCCGCTACTCTGCAGTGAAACCTTTGTTATGAATCAAATATTCATGCATGTTCATTTCTTTCTGGACTCATGTTTTATTGGTCAGTTTATCTACCATTGTACCAAAACCTTCATTACTCTAATTACTTTAGCTCTATACAAAGTATGGATAGCCTATATTTTATGTATTCTAGCTTAATTTTTCTTCATGTTGTCATAGCCATTTTTTTGCCCTTTGAATTTGCTTCCACATTTTAGAATCAACTTGACAGTTTCTAAAAAATATTTTTGAGATTTGGATTGAGATGGTACTGAATCTGTAGCTCTGCTGAGGAGAACTGGTATTTTAATATGATTGCATCTTCCAATCAACATACAAGGTAAATGTATGCTGTATTTATTTAGTTTTTTTAAAAATTAAATTCATGTAGTTATATATTTGCTTAAACACATTTGTACAGATTATTTTTAAATTCATTTTGAAACTTTATTGTTCACATAAAGAAATACATTAATTTTGTATTCATTGTATTCAGTAACCTTTCTTCTTCTTCTTTTTCATTTTTCCATAGAGAGTCTCTCTCTGCTGCCCAGGCAAGAATGTAAAGACATAATGAGACGTCACTGCATCCTCAAACCCTTTGGCTCATGTGATCCTCCCACCTCAGCCTCCCAAGTAGCTGGGATTACAGGTACACACCACCATGCCCAGCTAATGTTTTAATCTCTTTGCAGAGACAGGGGCTTGCTATGTCGCGCAGGCTGGTCAACTCCTGGTCTTAAGCAATCCTCCCACCTCAGCCTCCCAAAGTGCTGAGAGTTACTGAATACAGGCATGAACAACCACGCTTCCCTATATTCAGCAACTTCTTGGAGTTCATTTATTCATTCTAATAGTTTATCAGGGTGGTTTTTTGGGGGGCTACTTTCATATACAGCCAGAGCACCTTGAATAATGTTTGTGTTGTTTACTCCTAATATGTTCTGATGCTCTTTTTTCTCCTTGGGTTATTATACTGGGTAAAGCTGTCAGTACAACATTAAATCGCAGAACTAATTTTAAACTCCTTACGTCTTTCTCAGACTAAAAAGTAAAGGATTTTTGTATATCACCATTGAGAAAAAGTTTGCTGTATATTTTTTTGTAAATATCTTCTGCCAGATTAAGATGATTCTCTGTTATTTTCGGCTTGCTATTTTTTTGTTTGCTTTTATTTGGAAAATGAAGGTTAAATTTTGCAAAATGTGTTTACTGTGCCTATTGAGAGTATCTTAGGCTACTTCCTTTTTTCCTTCATGTAGAAAAAATAATAATTTTTTTAAATATTAAAGCAAAATTTACATTCCTCAAATAAGCACAATTTGTGTACTTTTTTTAAAAAAAAAATTGCAAGTTTTAATTTTCTAACACTTGGTTTAAAACTTACATTTTGCTTATGCTCGGGAGGTTGAGGGTGCAGTGAACCATGATTATGACACTTCACTCCAGCCTGGGCAACAGAGAGAGGCTCTGTCTCAAAAAAAAACAAAAATAAGGCTGAGCGCGGTGGCTCAAGCCTGTAATCCCAGCCTTTGGGAGGCCGAGGCGGGTGGATCACGAGGTCAAGAAATCGAGACCATCCTGGTCAACATGGTGAAACCCCGTCCATACTAGAAATACAAAAAATTAGCTGGGCCATTCAAGTCCTAGCTGGTGGCGCAGGCCTGTAATCCCAGCTACTCAGGAGGCTGAGGCAGGAGAATTGCCTGAACCCAGGAGGCGGAGGTTGCGGTGAGCCGAGATCACGCCATTGCACTCCAGCTTGGGTAACGAGCGAAACTCCATCTCAAATAATAATAATAATAATAACAACAACAACAACAATAAAATAAAAGTAAAACACTTACATCTAAGCCAGCAGTGGTGTATTGTGCAGTACCAGCTACTCAGGGGGCTGAGGCAGAAGGATCCCTTGAGCTTAAGAGTTTTGAGGCCAGTCTGGGTCTCTAAAGATCTAGTCTCTAAACAACAACAACAGCAACAACAAATGCACACCTAAATTCAAATAAGAAATAACTTTTTCACAATGTCACTGTCCAGTTTCCATATTGCTGTATGGACCTGTGAGGGTTTCCATTATCTTTTCATTTTTTTCTTTGTCACATTTTTAATCCACTGACGTGTGATTTAATACAAAATTTTGTAGAGGATTTTCATTGATGTTATTTTCTCTAGATGGTTCCTTTTCATTTCTGGTAGGCAGGTAGATAAATATCACATTAATCCTTTCTGTGTTTGAGCTGATTTAAGGGTGAGTTGCAGCCTCTGTAAGATCAGATACGTTCGGTCTCAACTTTCAGAATGCAGTTTTTCAGCAGTACAGCTGAAAGCCTGTGTTGTTTACTGGAGATACTCCACACAGAAACCCAAGGTTTATCCGGTACTGAGAGCTGCCGACAGTTCTGTGTAGCTCTCCAGTCTCTTAGGAGTCGCTGTTGTACTAAGCTTCTCCAGCTCTTGGTCTGGACCACATCTGAATGAATTAATGCCTTGAGGGGAAAGTGGTTCAACCATTGAGCTCACGTCTCTGTTTCTTTTCTCTCTAGGATCTTGGATTCTCAATTAATAGCCACTTTGGTAATGCTGAATATGAATAAAATCTCTGACCTCAACAACTGCTGAAAACTCTTCTCAGTATTTTTGAGTTTTAGCATGAATTTAGCTTGAATTCTCTGCTTTTCCATCCACCCCTCTTACAACCTATCGAATAACTTGAGCAGAAACGTGTTGCAGAAGATTAAACTCACCCTAGTGAGTGTTTCTCATTTGTAGGCTATTGGTCATTCAAGTCCTAGCTCTCTTGGTTGATCTCCTGTGCCTTCAAACAGGTCCCCCCACTCCCTCAGGAGAGATGATAAAATTTTTCATGTGGGAGGATTGTTCTGCTGCGAACTAGTTCATCATAATCTGAATCAAACTTAACAATTCAAGATTTGAAATAAGAATATTACTTCTGTGTCACCTACTACCTTTCTTGCCTCTAAATCTGAGTTTTTACATTTTTTACATTTATAAGGCTACATTAAGTTTTGAATAATTAGACACCTCTTTCAAACCTAAATTTCAATGGTCTTGGAGTTCTGCTAGACTCTAGAAGTTGCAATCTATACCAGATCTCACTGCCCACTGTCTAGCTTTAGAAGAGAATTCAGATTTTCTTAAATACAGCTTTATAATCTTGAATCAACTTCCTTCAGACAAAAGCAAGCCCGTAGAACTTGACACACCTTCCCAATAAGCACAAGCGGTATTTTAATACCACCTCTATACAACTTAGAACAGAATGTATTTCTCTGTGTTAGGATAGCGGATAGAAATTGCAAAGCAGTAAAACCAATAAGCAAAACAGCAAATTCTAGAGTTCGTATGCCCTGCCTCAGGAAGTTCTCTCAGCCGTCTTCTTCTTTCCACTCCAACCTACAGCTCTGTTGTGGTTGCCAGCCCTTTCTCATAATGAGCTGACCCTGAGCATGCCTTTTCTGTGCAATGTAAGGTCTCAACTCCCCTTAAACCGTAGACATGAACAAAACAGCTTTTCTCAGAGGAAACACAATATTAGAACACAATCTCATCCATTTCAAAAATGGTAACTTTTTACATTATTTTTAGAAGCAATTTGGCTTCTGTTTACGGAATCTTAATTTCACAATAGAGTCTTTAGGTATTTTGGGGTTTTGTTTGTTTTTTAAGATGGAGTCTCACTCTGTTGCCCCAGGCTGGAGTGCAGTGACATTATCTCAGCTCACTGTAGCCTCTGCCTCCCAGGTTCAAGTGATTCTCCTGCCTCAGCCTCCTGAGTAGCTGGGAGTACAGATGGGCGCCACCATGCCTGGCTAATTTTTGTATTTTTAGTAGAGACAGGATTTCCCCATATAGGCCAGGCTGGTCTCAAACTCGGTGGCACACGTCTGTAATCCAGCACTTTGGGAGGCCAAGGAGGGTGGATCACGAGTCTTTACTTTTAATTAACTAAATTCTCATTAAAACTTTACTGCATCCTCACCCCATCCCAATCTCTGCAAAGAAAGGAGCTCTCTACTCTCAACAGTTCAACTCTCCAACTTTAGGAAAACACTGTAAATATTTAAGGCATATTTCTTGTCCTAGGAAATTTATAAGGCAATTTTCCCACTGCTGGCCATTGAAATGTCTGTAAATACTGGAATCTGGTCTAAACCAGGACATTCCCATATATCAGGTTTACTAAAAGAATGAAGGAAATAAAACAAATCTCACACAACACACTAAGTGGCAGCTCAGGTGTTTTCTGAGGTTACCTTGTACCACCAGCACTCAATCTAGACAGATCCGAGCGCATAATGGCTTCTTATTAAGTGCTAAAAATAATCAATGCAAGATCTCAGACTAATTCTGTACACCTGTGCTCTTTCCACATTATCCAGTTATTAACCTTGGTTGTTACCTGCCAAATGAATGTATTCAGAAAAATACAACCATTTAAAGAGCCTAAAGGCTGAGTCATTTTTCAGTGGCCTTAATTGTTCATCTATTTTCATGAGCAATGTTGATTAATTTGATGCACCAAAATCACATTCCAGGTTGGAAAAAATTGTTTGCTATTAATTAGGTGTCAGGACGTGAAAGACCATTCAGTAGAATTGGGAGCTCATGAATGGACTCTGTTTAACCGAGTTCCAAAATCAAGAAAAAAATCTTTTGTAGCTATGTTGCGTTTGATGGAAACTGACAAGAGTAAGTAATTACAAGGCCACAATTAAGTATTTGGCTTAAAAAGAAAGAAAAAGAGACTCCTCTGGGGACTCTGGTGTTGACAAGTGGAAAACAACATATTTCTGCTCATAAACTTATGTAGATACAGTCCTTGTTCCTTTAAAGCACAATGTTTTTGCTGTGGGCAAAACCATTTTTTTTTTCATGTGGGTAAGAATATGAGAACCTAAGTATAGTAATCATAGATTATAAATTAGGACCAAGCCTGTAATCCCAGCACTTTGGGAGGCCAAGGTGGGTGGATCACAAGGTCAAGACATCGAGACCATCCTGGTTGACATGGTGAAACCCCGTCTCTACTAAAGATACAAAAAATGAGCTGGGCATGGTGGCGCATGCCTGTAATCCCAGCTACTCAGGAGGGTGAGGCAGGAGAATTGCCTGAACCCAGGAGGCAGAGGTTGTGGTGAGCCGAGATCATGCCATTGCACTCCAGCCTGGGTAACAAGAGCGAAACTCCGTCTCAAAATAAATAAATAAATAAATAAATAAGGACCATATTTAGAATTCATCTGCCCTACTTTCCTCTATTTCTTATCCAACTTCAGAATGTAATTTATCATTTTAAAAATATGATTTAACATAATGTGTTCTGGAAACAAACTGATAGAAGCATAACTTGACTAACTTAAGTTTTAACAACTATTAATTTAAAATGGGTCAATGCTCATGACTTCTTTATTTAGTTTCAATATGCTTAAACGTGGCACATTAAGCAGGGTAAGATGTCCTAGCCTTATGAGCTCTCTGTTCCTTAAAACGATCAGTTTTTGCCTCAGTGGGTCAGGCCCTGCCCTGTGGTTGAGGACATGAGGACCTATAAAGGGATGGGATGTCTCTTTTTACCCTGGGAAGTGAGAATTGTAGCTCTCTGTCCATTAAGCTCAATGTTTTCTATAATGCAAATTTGACAAAATGGATCAAACTAGACATAGGTTAAAGATAACAATCATCCAAATAACTAGTAATCCCTGATATGTGTTTTCCTTTTAATATTTTTTTTATTATTCAACAATGCAAAATGACTGGTAGAGTAAAAAGAGAATAGAATACTAACTACCTTTCTTCATTTATAAAAGAAGGACAATACATGTAATGTCTTGAGGCATTGCTGCAAGTGTTAGAGATAATAGTTGCATGGCAC